TACTGGAATGGTGACAGCCCCTCCCAGGACAGTGGTGCCTGCCAGGGCTCACTGTAGACACACGTCGTAGAGCCCAACGAGCTTGGGTATGATGAGTGTCCTTGTAGCTGAGGAATAAAAGCTCAGCCAGAAGGGCAGCTGAGCTGTCCAAGGTCGCACTGAGCGTTCCTTCCAGAGCTGGGCTGGAGCCATGGTCTTTGGCCTCTGCCTTGCCAGCCTCAAAGCTCTTCCCACTCAAACTTCTTTCCAAAGGTCTTCCTGCAACCGCAGCCCGTACATCAACCACAACAATGCCAGCATTAACAGCTACCATTTATTGATTATTTGTTATGTGCCAGGCACTGAGCTAAGCTTTTAACACAGTTTGACTAATATCATGCTCATACCTACACTATGAAGTACGGATTATTCTATCCTCATTTTACCAATGGAGTTAGGTCCAGAGAGGGTAAGTCACTTTCCTAAGATCACACAGTGACTAGCTGATTGAGCCTGCACCAGAAACCAGGTGGTTTGATGCTGAAGCTCATGGACTTAATCCCATACTGTTCTGTCTAACGTGAGGGTTCTGTTCGGAACAGCCACCACTCACTGAGTGCCTCCTTTTTCCCTGGCTCCAGGCCAAATAAATGTTTCATCCCATTGAGATCTTACAACAAACCTCCCTGCCCCGTGGGCCCAAGATAGATGAGATAGGGTGCCGAGATAGACGAGACCCACTCCTTGCCTCCAGAGAGCTCAAAGTCCAGTGGGGCAGACAGGCTGACCCTCAAGTCAGGTCAACACAAAGTATTCAGAGTCATGCTGGGAGTGACGTCGGGGTGGCCCCTAATCAGCACAGGGAGCTCAGGTGAGCTGCAAGGAGACCATCTATATGGGTTGAGCCTGAAGGATGAGTATGGGTTGGCCAGTCTAAGGAAAGGCATTTCAGGAAGAGTGAACAGTGGGTGCCGCCAAAGATGGCCTGGCATGTGAGCCTGGGCTTGTGGGCAGTTCTGTATGACTGGGCAAGGTGGACATCTGTGGTTTGTGGTTGTCCTCCATTCCCCCTTCTGGGCACAGTGCCTGGACTTTTCTTTGGGGAATCAGCCCATCTCCACCCTCCTGGCTCCAGGATAGGCTTGTGACTGTGGCTGACCAATCAGACTGCTGTTCAGGGATGGGCAGGGGACCAGCAGGCCATTGAGACTCAACTTGGGGACTTCCACAGGAATGATGGGAAAGAGAAACTCTTTCCACTGGGCTGCTGGGTATTTCCACGAGAGGAAGCCTGCCCGAGTGGGAAGCCAGCCTGGATGAAAGCAGAGCCGAGGGACTGAGAGAGATGCATGAGATGGGTTAGTGCCTGGATTCAGCCAGGCCTGGAGGGTCTACCCTGGAATTTCAGTTGTGTGGGCCAATCCATTCTGATTTTTTGCTTAAATCAGATTGACTGGGATTTTGGTCACCTGTAACCAAGAGTCCAGCCTAACGCAATGGGGTAAGAGGACAAGGTGGAGGATGGAGAGACGAGCAGGGGTCAGCTCATGGAGGCAGGCATAGGCCAGCTACAGAGTTAAAGATTCATCCAGCCACTGGAACTAGGAAGATTCTAACTGCCAAGCGGGAGAACTGTGATAGTGTGACTGTGCCTTTGGAGACAAAAGCTCTGTTGGCTAAGGGAGAGAGAGAAAAAAAGAGTCAGCGACTCTTCTAGAAATTTCCGAGCCTTTGGAACATCTTTTCTGGGGTTTTCCCATCAGGCTAGACGGCCTGGTCTGAAATAGGAGCCCAATTATTAATCCATCAGCCCTGACGGCACGTATCAATTTATCTTAATTTCTGAAAATACACTCACGCCTTTCAGACCAGTCTCTTTTCTCCGTCACCAAGAAGGAAGGGGATCTCGGCAGAGATTGATCAGAGGGAATTTGGCCCTTCGGAAATGCCCCGCTCTGGCTGAAACAGAACACCCGGCATTTCAGGAGGCGTCGCCCGCAGATGAATGGGCCCCGTGCCCTCAGCGCTGTGGGCAGGCCCGCCACAGGGGCCTGGGAGACAGTGCTCAGGCAGACAGGCTGCCCCCAGCTTTGGGAACTCATGCTTTCAAAGCCAGCAGAGAGAAGGCCGAGGGAGGAAAGCCGCCCTTCCGGACCTGGGAGCCCCCTCATTCCACCATCTCCTCTCCTCTCGAGAGTGAAGGGCATAATTGGATCAAATGGAAACAGGAGCCAACCTCCTCTCCTTCCCGGAGGAGAGACCTCCAGGACGGCTTCATTACCAAGTCTTTTGTAAATAAACTCTGTGGAGAAAAATGCCATTTGTTCTGCTGTAATTGCCTGATGAGCATCATTAGATGGGTCTTTGAAAACACACAGAATGAAACTGTTTTGGGTTTAGAAATTCCTTTGTGCAAATCCTTCTCTATTCACTGTTCTCCACAGAAGGAGTTTCTGAAGGGGGACTTTTTGACCAAGGAGCTTGGCCAGTGAGGCTGGTTCTGGCTAGGGACACACCTGTCTGAGGATTCAACCAAAAATCTTTATCAAGTGCCTTCTCCATGCCAGGCAATCCTTTAGGTACTTGGGATACAGCAGGGAGTAAAACACACAAAGATCCTTGCCCTACTGAAGTTTACATTCTGGTTAAGAACTCAGAACATGGATGTGCCCATTTCGGGGAATTAACTTGGTGGAAAATGTCATAAATGAAGTTTGTTTAATTGATGGATGAAGGAACTGTGAAGTGAAACTCTTCTGACTCCTTGTGTGTGATTTCACTGTACCCATAAGGATGTGACATTTGGAAAACCAGATTGCGGGAGCTAGGGATAGAAAATAAATGACCTATGTGCCATCACTTACCAAACCTGCACCCAGGGCAGACATCACTAATCAATCACCACTCTTTTTCTGATAAGCTCAGATGCAGCCTCAGAGCACCTATCAACACAGAACTGGGGCAGCCACCACCACTGGATGAGAGTTGCCTGGGAGAGGAAACCTATTTGTTATTTCTGACTTGGACTGTTAACTAATTCACTTCATTGAGAAGCTGCAGAATAACGCAATAAATTAAGAATAACCCCAGGAGGAGGCAAAAACTGAGAAGAGATGGTGAGAGATTGCCGCCAAGTTGTCAGGCTAGTTTTCCTCTCAAATGCTCTTCTCTCACGCCCAACAGGGCGCGTCAGAGCACGGGCTTTGCGGTCAGGCAGACCTGGGTTCAGGTCCTGGGTCTGTTACTTCCATCCGTGTCGGGGGTCAGCCTGAGCCCCAGGTGCCTTGCTGTGAAATGGGTATAATAATGATACCACCCTCCTGGGGTTGTGAGGATTAAATAAGCCAGCACAGGTGAGGGGCTTGGCGCAGGGTCCCGTCAGCTCTGGTCAGGGCTGAAATCCAGTTGTTGCACACCAGGGTGGACACGGTAGTTTACAGCTGGCATTCGCTCAGACCGGTTGGGGCATGCACCATCACCATTGTTAAATATTTTGAATATCACCCTTGGATATTAATATTAGTGTTGTTTAGGGGCTGGTCCTCTTATGGGAGAAACTCCAGAACTCTGGAGGTAAAACAGACAGAGACGGCTTCTCAAACCCACATCATGCTTCAGTACAATTCTGGGTGGTGGCTTTCTTGCTAATCAAGAATTGATGTTCCCCAGTTCTGAACTGCTCAACAGTGGCATACATAAACTCAGTAACGATGTCGACAAGGAAAGTAATCTTGAGGATGTTTATTAGGAAGCACCTGACAAGCAGGGTCTCATTTAATCCTCTCAACAACCCTGTGGGGATTAAAGTATCATTAAACGCATTTCATAGAAGCAGAAACTGAGGCTCAGAGAGGTGAGGGTTCCTGCTCCAAGCTCACACAGCCGGTAGAAAGTGGCGGAGCTGGATCTGACCGGGGCGATCTGACCCCAGCACTGAAGTCTTACTCACTGTGTGTGACAATGGTCCTTTTCACAGAATGTTGATGCCTGACGGGGCCTCAGGGTTGTGTTTTCACAGGGGTTTGCCTAGTAACGGTGCTGCCATCCCTCACGGGCTGGGGATACATCTAACCAGGGCTTCCGGGGGATGTCAGAAGCAGGCGCTGGCGGCCACAAGGGCACAGGACAAGCTAACCTTACCCTCAGAGGGACCGAGCCTCTGTTCTTCACAGAATCCCACAAAGAAAGGGGGGAAGGTGGCCTCAGAAGTTTGGGTGGTTAACTGGTAACCACCATGTCCTTTCCCACCATTGGCAGAAGGCTTCTACAGCACATACTCTGGTCTAATAGGTTACAGCACATATCCAGTCATTGAATCTTTAATAATTTCTATCAATTATTAATTGCTGGTTGCGTCCCCAGGTTATATGCTAAGCACCTTCTAGATATTTTTCATTTAATCTTCACAATTGCTCTGTAAGGTAGGTAGTATTATTTTCTTATTTCAGATGAGGAAGGAAAGCTCAGAGAGGTCATCTAACTTGCTCAGAGTCACACAGCACTGAGTGGTGGAATTGGGATTTGAACCCAGGTCTTCCTGACTTCACAACTTGAGCTCTTAACCACTGGTCTCTACAACAAACCCTGGTAGTGACGGATACAAAAGGGAAAACTTGAGAAGGCAGCCAGGTACCATTCTCAGAGCAGAGCGTTCTTCCTGGCCTCTGTGTCTTGTTTGGCCTTCTCAGTTTCTCCTCCCCACTGCTGGTTTGCTGGGCATCTCAATGGGAGACACGCCATCTTTACTGGTAGTGAGACCTGTCTTATTCCAACATCGCCATCTTAAGAAGGGACGATGTAAGACAAATGCCAGGCAGAGCTTCCCCTAAGGCCAGCCTTTGGCAGCCTGAGGATACCTACCCCCTGCCCCCAACACACACACAATAAGCAGTGGCTGGCATCTCCTGACTTGCTCCCCTGAGGACCACAGGGGCTGCAGAGACCTGAGGTCTCCAGCCTGCCAGGACAGGTGCCAAGAGGGCTGTGCCAAGGAGAAGGGGGCTTCCCGAGAGCTGGCTCACCTTGAACGAGATCTCGTACTGCTCCCCTCCCCAGATCTCGAGGCCTGGGTCGTACCCGCCCAGCTCCCAGAACCACTTCCGATCCACAGCAAACAGTCCACCGGCCATCACGGGAGACCTGCCAGGGAAGAAGAGCGTGGCGTCAAGACGGGATATCCGGCCACGTGCTCCTCGGGCACTCTGATCCTGCTGTTCCCCCAGGGATGCTGTTCCCTGCTGCTCTGGGAACACAGCCCACGTGTCCAGCAGGGGATCTGAGGCCCTTCCTTGGTGAAGTGAGGGCCCAGGCTTTCTGCTTTCTCGCCTACACTTCCCTTGATAAATGCTACATTTTAACCAAACGCACCCAAAGTTCCTTTACATGGTCAACACCTAAGAACACTGTGAAATGAAATCACAGTACTTTTTCTCCGTGGGCTTTGTAGCTGCAGCATGTATCTATCTCTAGTCCTCCCACTAGTTAAATGTCCAGGTCAGGTCTTTCCAAGCCTGTCTAGGCTGCAGCACATTTCAGAGAGATGAGAAACCATACAGCTGGTGTGGGCCCTACCCCAGACCTACGACACAGTCACTGGGGATGGAGCCCAGGAAGCTGTGTTTTCCAACAGTCGCCTCCGATGATTCGTGCTCGGTCAGCCCGGCATGGACGTTGGTCGGGCTGAGAGTTTACAGAAGAAGCCACAGTCTATGTTCTTTCAGTTGAACTGGGATAAGATTATCTCCACTCATTCACTCTCTCATCAGCTCATTCATCGAGTGCCAGCTGAGAAGCAGATGCTGGAAGAATCTGGACATCAATCACCATCAGACCAGGACTTTGGGGATGCCAGTGTGGTGGGGCGGCCACCTCAGCACAGAAGGATCCAGAAGACAGGTGGGTGTCATGAGGGCCTCTGGGAGGGGCAGACAGCACTATGGGAATATGAAAGGAGGGAGTGTCTGCCTCCAGGTTTTTGGGGTGAGGAGCTTGGCTGGGGCAAGAGTCAAGGAAGGGTGCTCAGAGGGGGTGGGGCATTCAAGGTGGGTTTGCACAAGTGGGAACTGGGGGGAGGGGAGGGCACCTGGCAGGAGACAACAACCAGAGCCGGGACACAGAGACGATAAACTGGGGGTTGCCATGGGGAACAGGCAGTCAGCATGGCATCATGCCAAGCCCAGGAGTGGGGGAGGCCATGCTGCAGCCTGCTCCAGTCCCCCATGGGGTTGGGGACCTGAGGGGGCCACCAGGGTTTGCTCTGTGAAAATCTCTCAGAGTGGCCGTGTCCTGTCCAGCTCCACTGGAAAATGCCAAACCCCCAAACCAAAAAACATTCCAGCAGCAGCCTCCACGCGCCCCCCTGTCCTTAGGAGCTGCGAGCTCACGGGATGTGGACTGATGTAAAAAGAACTTAGTTAACTCACATGCCTCCCAAGCTTTCTTAGCAGACGAGCCTCGACAGCACAGGAGGGGCCTCCTTTAAAAGTGGATCCCCTGGGATATTTACTGAGGGCTTGAATACGCCGAGTGCTGAACTCCAGGCAGACCTCAGAGATGGTGGGGGCTCAGTTCCAGACCACCACAATAAAGCAAATATCGCAATAAAGCAAGGCACACGAATCTTTTGGTTTCCCAGTGCATATAAAAGTTATGTTTACACTATACTAGTCTATTAAGTGTGTGATAGCGTTATGCCTAAAAAAACCAATGTGTATACCTTCACTAAAAAATCTCTATTGCTAAAAACTGCTAACCATCATCTGCACCTTCAGCAAGTCATAATTGTTTTGTTGGTGGAGGGTCTTGGAAAAAATGCAATATCTGCGGAGCGCGATAAAGTGAAGCACAAGGAAGCAAGGTGTGCCTGTAATTTATTAAGAAAATGATTCTACTCCTCATGTTGACCTCATGAGCTAGACCTCACTGTTATTTCCCCACATATGCAGGTAGCACTCGGAGTACAGACAGGTACTCAAGGCTTCACAGTACTGCTGGGATCTGACTCCCTCTCCTCTATTATGCCACAGCCCACACCCGCCATGGTCATGATGTATTGCCTCCTCTCAGGAAGGAAAAATCGAGAAGCAGGTGATGAGTGAAAAGGACAAGGGATCAGAAATGGGAAACCCTCACTCCAACCTCAGCCCTCCTTAACCTGCGGGGCGATCTGAGATGAGATGTTTAACCACTGGACCCAGTGTTGCTCGGTAAGGGAGCCACTGGCCACAGGTGGCTACTGCACACCTGAAATGTGGCTCATCTGAATCAAGCTGTGCTGGAAGTGTAAGATACACACCGGATTTCCAAGACTTAGCATGAAGAAGAAAATAGAAAAGATGGCATGAATATTTCACAGTGTAGGTAACATGTTAAAATGAGAATATTTTAGATATATTGGGTTAAATAAGATTTATTACTTAAATTTTACCTGCTTCTCTTTACCATTTTTTTCTGTGGCTACTAGGAAATTTAAAAGTACATGTGTGGCTGGCATTATATTATTACTGGACAGCCCTGATTAACCTCTTGGAGCCCGTTTCTCTGTCTACACAATGGATGCATAGCTACACTCCTAGCTCACATTGCTAGCATATTTCTTAAAGTATCCAGTACTACAAGAAAATAAGGTGACATTAGTATCAACTTTCCTTTGTCTGCTGAAGGTTGTGGGGTTTGGGGTTTTTTGGCTGAAGCCGCAAATCCACTGCTTGGAGGGGCAGAGAGTGTTTCAGACTTGGTGCTTCCTGGGAACTCAAACCCAAGACCCTGCACACAAAAACCAGCCTGGGTGGAAGGTGGGCAGGGGTGGAGGAGCTGCTCCAGAGCAGGTCGGATATCAGCCTGAGGGCATTTTGGATGCTTGAGGTTTTTGCTCTGGAGGGAGGCCGGCCTCTCCTCTAGCTGGGTCTATTTTCTGCTGTGTTCAGCAATAACAATAACAAGAATTCTGAGTGTGTGTGTGTGTGCCACTCACTTTACTGACATTATTTCCAGCTCTCACAAAGCTCCATTACTAGCCCTCTATTCAGATGGAGGAATTTGAAATTCAAAAAATGCTACATGCTCCGCTCAAGGGCATGCAGTTAGCAAGTGGACGAGCTGCGATTCAAACCAGGGCCTGCCCCCAAAGCCTGTGTCTTTCAAACGTCTTTACACCACGCTGTGCCTGCAGATTGCCCACTCGCTGGGACCGTGGGGAGGTGGCAGAAAATGACTGGGATTTCTCTAGTGGCCTCTCCCCTGGGTTTTTGTCCAAGTCCAATAAAGAAGAGAGACTTCTGGAAGGAATCAGAGGGTACAAAGGATGGAGAGTCCCTCAGGAAGCAGCTGGGCCTGTGGCTCTCAACCTTGGCTCCACATCGGCATCACCTGGGAGCTTTGAAAAACAAAGATGCCTGGACCCCACCCCTGTCTAGGGGGTGGCCTGGGCACTTTGTTTTTTTTTCCTTTACAAAATCCCCGGGTGATGCCAATGTGCAGCCAGGGTTGAGAGCCCTTGCTCTAGGGTGGGGCCAGTCCGTTCAGCGTCCAAATGAGGAGACTGAGGCGCAGAAGAAACTAGCTGGGCTTCTGCTGCTAACTAGCTGCACGGGCTGAACTTCCTCTCTCCTCGCTGTGCAGTGACGAGGATGGACAGGCCAAGATTCATCCTTGTGGACCTTTCAAATCTAGGGCTATGGCAAAGGTGAAAACAATAAAGGGGGCTCTGGTTACCCTGAAAATTCCATTTTCTGGAGCAGTCCCATCCGACCTCAGCCTCTGCTCCATGTCATCCCTGGCAAGTCTTGTTTCCTCTCTGAACTGCAGGGCCGGCATGGCTCAAATGGGGAGAATTCCAGCTACACCTGAGGGCACTATCGTGAGGATTGGACACAGTAATGTCAGCTGGAACTGCTTTGCCAACTCAGGCCAAATGTTAGTTACTCATGTTGTTAGTATTATTCTCCAAGACTTCCGAGCAATGGGGGATTGCCTCTGAGGCATACGGTGGCGGGGGCGTGACTGCATGATGTGGTCTCGGCTAAACTGTATCTGTGGGCTAGGAAGGGCTCTAATTGTAGTGTTGGACCCTGTTTAGGATACAGGAGGTCAGGAGAAGCAGACAAACGTCTGACCTGCTGAAGCAGCACAGGGCTCCACTCTCGGTTCCACTCTCGGCTCACGCTCCATCGCCACGGCCACCTTCCATTTCCTCAAAGACGCCCACCTCTCCCTGCCTCTGAGCCTTCCCTGGGGCCCACGGCGTTAGGGGCTCCCTTTGGGAACCCTGGGTGTGCAGTGTCCATGAAGATGGCTGAGCTGCCAATAGCCCCCATTCTCAGATGGGAAGGGTGAGGCACAGAGAAACTGCAGGTCACTGGGGTTAACCTGTGGTTAGGCAGGTGTGGTAGACAGAATAATGCTCCCTCCAAGAAGTCAATGTCCTAATTCCTGGCACTTGTGAATATGTTGCCTGACACAGCAAAAGGGACTTTGCAGGTGTGATTAAGTTAAGGACCTTGAGATGGGAGATTATCCTGGTGCCCAGGGTAATCACAAGCGTCCTTATAAGTGAAAGGAGGCAGGAGAGTCAGAATCAGAGAAGATGTGACAATGGAAGCAGGAGACAAGGAGAGAGAGAGATGGGGGAAGGAGGGGAAAAGGGATAAGGAGGGAGAGAGAGTGAGAGGGAGGGAAAGGGAGGAAGAGAGAAAGGAAGAAGGAAGGGGAGGGGGAGGGGAAGGAAAGGGAACTTAAAGATGCTACGTTGCTGGCTTTGAAGACGGGGAAGGGGGCTGAGCCAAAGAATGTGAGCAGCTTCTAGAAGCGGGAAAAGGCAAGACACCAGATTCTCCCTTGGAGCATCTAGTAGGAATGCCAACACTGTGATTTTAGCCCAGTAAGACTCCTTTCAGACTGCTGACCTCCAGAACTTGAAGAGAATAAATTTGTGTCAGTTTAATAAGCCAGTAAGTTTGTGGGAATTTATTACCACGGCGATAAAGAGGAAACTAATCCAGCAGGAAAGCCCGGCCTTTGGCCTTGTATCCAAAGATCTTTTCCATCCCCAGCAGGAGAGCTAGAGCGGCTCACACAACAGCTACAGGGATGGCGGGCCCAGACGCTTCCAGAGGCTGCAGAACCGAGAGGGCCTGGCTCTCTTTCCGGTGTACCCGAAAACTCGCTGTGCACCCCAGGGGGCCTCCCTGTCCTGGGGCCTCAGTCTCCTCATATTACCTTTGGGCTGCCTCCAGCCTTCCCTCTCTAGGGTGCTATGAGCCATCCGCAGCCCCCGACTTCCACTGTGGGACAAGCTGTTATTTCTCTGATGCTTCCAGGGGTATGAGAGGTGATGGGAAGACTGGCTCCAGAGGCAGATGGACCTGCATGTGCACTCAGCCTTTGCCACTTCAGAGCTGTGTGACCTGCACAAGTTGCTCAGCCTCTTGGAGGCTTGGTGTCCCCATTTCGAAAACACGGATGATAATTTTTACTACATACGGCTGTTGGGGGTTAAAGAGGATCAGGGTGAGATGTGCTCAGCACTGTGCCTGGCACTTAGAAAGTGTTCAATAAGTGGTGGTGATGATGATGACAACTGGGTGCCAGGCTTGAGGGAGAGAGTGTGAGTGACTCCACTCACCCCCAGCTGGCAATCCTGGCAAACCGTGCAGAGGGCGGCAAGGAAGAGTGACTCAGTGGTCCATGAGCTGAGGCTCTCTGACAAGCTGCGAGGGCCTCTGCTTCTGGTTGGGGACGTCTGCCTTGGCCCCTCTGCACTAGACTTTTGAAAGAGGTGGCGATTGATCCCGGGGTGTGTTTGTGTTGGGGAGCGGTCACTGGGTCAGCCACTGGGGCCAGCTTGGGTCACTCATACTTACTCAAATGGGTCGCTGGGGTCAGCTTTCTGCAGTTCTGGAGGGATCGGGATCCGCTTATAGTACATCTCCCAGTCAAAGGCACCCCGCATGGCATCCCCTGCCTGCGTCTCATACCGAAAGTCGTCGTGGTCAATGACGTCAATCATCGGGCACACAATCGTCTTGCGGTTCCGAGCAATGCGGTCTGAGGAAGCCAAGAGATGCCCGTTAGGGAGGTAAGATGGGGGAGCAGCTAAGTGCACAACCCTGTTCTGCAGCTTAACTCGCATTTTAAATGCATTCCGTGGGTGATTTCTCTCAACACCAGAGTTTTGAGAATTCGGGGGAGGAAGGGAGGACACAGGCTTTAAGTAAGATGGACCAGGGCCCCCATCCCAGTCCTGCCACCCACGACAGGGCCCTGGGCCAGCCACATAAATAGCATCTCCAAGCCTCAGCCTTCGCCTCTATGAAATGAGGAGAAGAACAGACTCTGCCTCATAGGTTGTTATGAGGACTGGATACAATGCTCGAAGGTGCTCGGCACAGGTGCCTGTAATGATCAGCATCACTATGGAAAGGGAGATTAATTTCCTTCTGGGAGGGCGTTGTTCTCGCCCTGCCAGACTCCCCAATCCAAGTCCTGAACTTGGCTCATGATCCAAAGCAGCCAGGTACCCTAGCACTTGCTCCTCATGGCAGACTGTCTGCCCCTGACCGTTCCCTGGCACCTCCTGGCTGCAGTCAGTGAACAGATGGCCCACCTTGCAAGAGAATTCAGCTCACTTTTTCCAACAGTCAGAACTACGGAAGCCAGAATGGACTGTCTCAGGAAGTTGTGAGTTCCTCACGACTGGAGGTGTGCAAGCAGAGCCTGGAGGACCTCTGCCCTGCAGGAATGCCACAGGCTAGGGGATTCAGGACAGCAAATGGAGGCCTCGACCTGAGCAGCTTTACAGTCTCTATCAAGCCGGGGAGAAGCTGATTCTACAAAATCCACTCTCTGCCCAAACTACCAACCAGAATTTTACCCTTTGCTCTGCCTTCTCTGTTCCTCCTGCCAAGAAGCCCTGACTGCAGCCAGGGGGTACCAGTGATCGGGGCAGATGATCTGCCATGAGGGGTAAGTGGGCCGTGCTGGGGAGCCTGGCTGCTTGGGCCAGGAGTCAAGTTTATGGCTTGGAATGCGGACCTGGTAGGGCCAGAGTAGGCTGGCAGTGGCTGAAGGCCCAAGCTTCATCAAGTTAGAGCACATTTTTCTTTCAGGAGAGAAAGCAGCATTTTTGCCTTTTCTAAACTGGAAGACACAAACCATAGGTGGGTCATGAAATTGATTGTGTGTGCACGGATGTGTGTTCGTAATGAACCAAAAAAGAATACTGAATATCTATGTGATTCCAGGGTGCATTCTAGGTGCTAAGGGAGAGTACTTTTAGGAATTGTGTTTCAGTCATACTGCATGGGTGTGCGTTTGTGTACTGGTTTGAGATGTCCAATGTACTTCTAACTGTGGCACATGGTTAAAAGTTTGAGAAATGCTGCTTTTGGCAGTGTGTCCCCAAGTATGGATCTGGGGCTACCAGTGCCAGATGCACCTGGAGTGTGTTTAACACTCCCCCCAACCCTACCCCGCCGACACCCTGGCCCCAGGCCCACTGCATCAGAATCTCTGGGGTGGAGATTGGCTCTGCCTTGTGGACAGGCTCCCTGGGGAGTCTAATGAAGCTTCAGAACCTTCTCCAGGGAAAAGATCTAGAGAGGGGCCTCCCTTCCTAATTATTCATGGCCTTGCCGGGGATTTCTCTTCTGGGGAGGGTTTGGATTGAGGGCACAGTGCTCTGCTGGATGCTAGCTGATGGTGGGGGGTATGAGGTCAAGGGGTAGCATCAGAGAGGCAGTGTTCCACCATGCTGTGCTCTCTTGGGGACAGAATGTCCAGGTTCAAATCCTGATTTTTGTCACCTACTGGTAGTACAAGCTTGGAAAACATTATCTGATGCCTCTGAGCCTTGGTTTTCTTGCTGATGAAACAGATGAAGACAGCATCTGTCTCATGGGGTCTCTGTGAAGACTGAGTGGGAAAATGGAGCCAAGACGCTTACCACATGATCAGCACTCCACCAATAGTGTGGCCAGGATTGCCGAAAGCAGCTCAGAAGCAGGAGCTGGAAGGCTGAGCATCTCCCTCCTTCTCTTTACCCCTCAGTTTTCTCCCTGTAATATGTGGATGACAATCCCGGCCTGCCTGCGTTACCACATAATCATCACTTTCAAATGCAGATGTGGCCTAAAAAGCTAAGGGACTAACAGAGCCCTGATGATGATGATGGAGAAAATGATGATCACATCAGGGAAATGCAAATCAAAACTACACTAAGATACCACCTTACTCCTGTTAGAATGGCTATAATCACTAAGACTAAAAATAACAAATGTTGGAGAGGGTGTGGAGAGAAGGGAACCCTCATACACTGCTGGTGGGAATGCAAACTGGTGCAGCCACTGTGGAAAACAGTATGGAGATTCCTCAAAAAACTAAAAATAGACCTACCATATGACCCAGCCATCCCACTACTGGGTATCTACCCAAACAATATGAAATCAACAATCCAAAGTAACATATGTACCCCTATGTTCGTTGCAGTACAATTCACAATAGCCAAGACATGGAAACAACCCAAGTGCCCATCAACTGATGATTGGATAAAGAAGATGTGGTATATATACACAATGGAATACTACTCAGCCAGAAAAAAAGACAAATTCATCCCATTTGCAATAACATGGAAGGACCTAGAGGGAATTATGCTAAGCGAAATAAGCCAGTCTGAGAAAGACAAACACCAGAGGATTTCACTCATATGTGGAATATAAACAAACACATGGACAAAGAAAACAGTTCAGTGGTTACCAGGGGAAGAGGGGTTGGGGGTGGGCACGGGCTGAAGGGGAGCACTTCCGTGGTGACAGTCAAGAAATAACGTACAATTGAAATCTCACATTGATGTAAACTATTATGAACTCAATAAAAAGAAGAAAAGAAAATGATGATCACCAAGTGACTTTCCTTTGGGGAGGCTGAATCCTTCTCAGGCACAGAAATGCTACTCTCCAAAGAAGGGAGAGTGAACTCTGCATAGAGGTGTTGATGGTTTCAGAGACTAAAGCATGATGCGCTCTGTCAGCTGCTCATATTAGCAGGGACAGACTTTTAAATCTACACCACTGGTTCACATTTCTACTGCTAAAAGAACAAAGAAAAAGAGGGGGAATGTTTCTTCCATGTATGTCTGCAGATTATCAAAATTACCTTCATATATTTCCATAGAAACAGAGTTAAGGGCTATTTAGACTACAAGCTCAGCCTCGTGCCCCACCACTTTATTCTCTTTATGAGTCACTGAATGACCCAACAAATGGGCTGTTCCTTTACGACTACAAATTAGGTGACTGATGGTGAGGTTTTTCTTTTTTGTTCTCATTTAGTACAGAGAGGCAGAAGCAGATCTGTTGGTTTAATTAAATAAACAGTTTACCAGGAAATCTGAGTTACATCCTTTTCCTAACCCAGTGGAATCCTGGACCCTCAGGGTTAGAGGCATATAATCTAATACTAAAGTTCCATGCTGATCTGTGTTAGAAAACCATCTGCTGGATTATCCCATTTAACTGTGTGTGGTTTTGCTTTCTGTCCTCAGCCCTGAACGGTGGCCTAACCAGTGCTTCTCAAACTGTAGTCCCTGGACTGGCATGCCCTGGGAGCTGGTTAGGCATGCAGCTGGACCTCCTGAATCAGACACTGGGTTGGGGCCCAGCACTCTATGTCTTAACGTGTCTTATAAGTGATGCTGACGCACACTCATATTTGCCCTAAACTTCAGTCCTCTTTACTCCCTAAACTTTCTGCTGTGGAGAGTGTACCCATCCATTTTTGAGGAGTTCACTTTTCTCTCTATATTGATAACTTCCCCAATCTGCCTCCATCCTTTGCCCTCTTGACTCCCATCTCAATGCGACATTTCCTCTTCAGTGTCCACCTGTCAGCACCAGCTCACCACCATCATCAAAGCTGAACTCCTCAGGATTCAGGCCTGATCCTTCAACCCGCTCTGAGACACCTCACTGCCCAGCATCTGATCCTCATGCCTCCCGTCTGTCCACAAGGCCACGGTGGACGACTCCAGAATCATGCTGCCCTCTGTCTACAGCCCTCCCCTGGTAGCTGTCAGAAACTCTTTCCTAAGCGGAAATGAATTCAGGGAGGCAGTGTGGAATTGTGAAAGAGCCTAGACTTTCGAGCCAGACAGATGGTGACTTTGACACGCATGCCCCAAGGGAACAAGTAAGATGTTCAGTATCTCTGAACCTGTTTCTTCTACTATAAAAAGGGGATACTTTCAACCTGGCATGGTTTTGTGAGGATTAGAGATAGTGCTTACAACCTTCCTGGCTCACAGCAGCAGAGCAGTGAATGGTAACTATTCTATGCTGATATGACGACAGTCCCCCCACAATTTGGCTCTTAACAGTAGACAGCCTGGCTTGCTTTCCAATAAAACTCGAAGTAATCTGGGGGAAGCAAGCATGTCACTAGATACTTATGTGCTCTCTGACTTAGGGCAAGTCCCTTCCCCTCTCTGAGTCTCAGCTTCCTTTTCTGTAAAAGGAAGGGACAGGACCAAGTGTACTTTTAAGGTCTCTTTGAGCACTCCTGAACTTCTGATCCCCCGTGGTCCCTGGCATTGTGCTGGGTGCACCTCAAGCAGACAAGGGAACCCTTGTGGATGAGTCCCTGCAGAAGGCTGGGGTCAGTGGCTGCGGGCTCATTCCAGGCCGCCTACCTCGCTCTGGGAATCTTCCTTACCAAGCAAGGGGGGGAGCCAGTTGACGTTGGCTTCACAGTGTGAGTCCAAGAACGTAATGACATCCCCAGTTGCTGCTGAGGCCCCCAACATCCGGGTCCTTATCAGCCCTTCTCGTTTCTTGGTTCGGAGAATCCTCACGCTGGGGAAAAGGGCCATGTAATCTTCAAGTGGCTTCTTTAGGTGCTCTGTGCGGGAGACAGAAGAGGACAGGCGGACAGGTGGGTAAGAACAGCTGCTTAGTGATCATTCTTGTGACCCCCTTCCTTACATGTGCACTGCACTTTATGGTTTAGACACAGCTTTCTGGTACACTGCCTCATTGGACCTTTCAGATAGAGCCAGGAAGGCAGGGATGACCAGCAGCATGCTACAAATGGAAAAACTGAAGCTCAGAGAGACCCAGTGATAGTGCCAGACCTGGAACACAGAGAGATCTTCTGTATGAGGGTGTGGGCAGCTGTGGTTTATGCCTGGCTGGGACCCATTCCCTCATTTTCTGGCAACAATACTTTGAGTTTTGTTTGGGAAACAGCCCCTTCCCTTCTCCGTGTATCAGACTTGGGTGGGGCTGGCCCCATCCTCGGGGTTCCAAGGCGAAGGAGCATGTAGCTTGGGCCTGACCAATCAGGGCATTCCATTCCTTTGGCCATAGTGATTGGTTCAGAGATGGCCAGGTGACCTGAGTTGGTCCAAATAATGAGTCCTGAGAATTTTTTTCAGAACTACTGAAAAATAAGGCTCTTTCTTTTTCCTAGAGTTGCTAAGTTGGTTGCCCATAAGTCTGGAGTTGCTGATGACATCTTTGGCAAAATGAGGTGATGAGAGGCGGTGGGGGGATCTGCTGAGACTGAAGTCAACGTGTAAAAAGAGTCAAGAGACAGAGAGAGACATTATCCTGATGACATTTTGATTCCCCAGATGCCCGTGTGCCTGAAGCAGACAGACTCCTAGATAAGTTCTTGTTACACATGACAACAAATTCCTCTTTTTGCTTATTCTAATGTGGGTTGGGTTTTTGCCCTATGCCTGGAAAAGTTGTTCTGAATAAATCTCAAAGACAGTCTTTTTCTACTAATGCTAGCAGGCTTAATGCTGGTGTCTCTTTATTTTAATCAGGGTTGGGGCCCTCTATGAAAATTCTAGTATGGCTACAAAAAAAACCTATGATGAAATATTGAATGCTTTTCTCCTGTAATCAGGAGATAGGTTGTATGTTCTCTTAGCACTTCTATTCAATATAGCACTAGAATTTCTAGCCAGTGCAATTGGTAATATAAAGAAATAAAAGGCATAAAGACTGGAAAGAAAAAGGTAACAGTGTCTTTAACTGTAGATGACATGATTGCTTACACAGAAAATCCTGAGAAACATACAAAGAAACTAGACTAAGGTAAACTTAGCAAGATTTCAGGATACAGGTCAACATTTAAAAATCAACTAAATTTCTATACACTAACAAATAAAAAAGCAAGTGGAAAGTGCAATTAAAAATGGTAAAAATACCATTTACAATTTAACAAAAGAAGCAGTAATTTGAAAACTACCAAACACTGTTGAAAGAAATTAAAGACCAAAAAACATGGGAAAATAGCCCATGTTCATGGACTGGGTGACATAATATTGTTAAGATGACAGTACATCCTATATTGATTCAGAATGATCAAAATCGCAGGTGACTTTTTTATAAAAATTGACAATTGATAAGCTGATCCTAAAATTTATGGAAATGCAAGGGATCAAGGGACGCAGAATAGTTAAAATAATCTTTTGACTACTTACACATGAAAGTTCATAGCAACACTATTCACAATAGCCAAATGGGGGAAATAACCCAAATTTACATCATCTCATGCATGGATAATCAAATATGGAATATATCCATACAACAGAATATTACTCAACCATAAAAAGGAATAAAGTACTGACACATGCTACAATGTGGATAAACCTCGAAAACATTATACTGAGTAAAAGAAGCCAGACACAAAAGATCACATATTGTATCATTCCATTTGTATGAATTTTCAGAATACGTAAATCAATAGAGACAGAAAGGATTAGTGATTACCAGGGATTTGGGTGGAGGAGAAGGGGAAGTGACAACTTATTGGGTATGGAGTTTCCTTTTGGGGTAATAAAAATATTTTGAAACTAGACAGAGGTGATGGTTGCACAACAGTGTGAATGTACTAAATGCCAATGAATTGTATACTTTAACATGGTATTGTATATTTTAACATGGTTCATTTTACATTATGTGAATTTTACCTCAATAAAAAAAAATAGGTAAAGCATATGAACAGGCACTTCTCCCAAGAAGATATACAAATGGCTAATAAACACATGAAAAGATGTTTAACATCATTAGTCATCAGGGAAACATAAATCAAAACCACAATGAGATACTACTTCATATCCACGAGGATGGCTATAATGAAAAAGTCAGATAATAACAAGTGGTGACAAGGATGTAGAGAAATAAGAACCTTCATATATTGTTGGTGGGGATGTAGAATGGTGCTGCCACTTTGGAAAACAGTCTGGCAGGTCCTCGAACAGTTAAACACGGTTACCATGTAACCCAGCAATTCCAGTGTTAGGTATATACCCAACAGAAATGAAAACATATGTTCATGCAAAAACTTGTACAATAACGTTCATAGCAGCAATATTCATAAAAGCCCCAAACTGAAAACCATCCAAATGTCCATCAATTGATGAATATATATCAAAATGTAGTATATCCATACAATGTGATACTATTCAGCAACAAAAAAGGAACAGGCTATTGCAATAACATGGATGAGCCTTAAAAATAGAATGCTGATGAAAGAAATCAGACTATAAGACTAGATATTGTATGATTCTATTTATATGAAATTTCTAGAAAGGCAAAACTACAGAGACAGAAAGGAAATCACTGGAGCTGGGTTGGGAGTGGGGAATGATTGTAAACAGGCAAAAGGGAACTTTTTGGAACGATGGAAATATTCTAAAACTGGATTATGGTAATAGTTTCACAACTATTAAAGCCACTGAAAAACACACTGAACTGCAGACTTAGAATAGGTGATTCTTATTCTATGTAAATCACACCTCAATAAGGCTATTAAATTCTAAAAAAAAAAATCAGTTGTATGTATTTCTATACACTGGCAGAGAACAATTGGAAAATACAATAAAAATAGCATTTATAATAGCCTCATAAAGACTCAAATAAATGGACAAATAAGTCAAATGTATAGATTGGAAGACTCCATATTGTTGAGTCAATTCTCAAATTGATCTATAGATTCAATGCAATCCCAATAAAATCACAGTGACTTTTTTTTTTTGAAATTGACAATTTGGTTCGAAGATTTATATGAAAATGCAAAGGACCTAGAACAGTCAAAACAATGCTGAAAAAGAATAAAGTTGGAGGACTCACACTGATTTCAAAACTTATTACTAAGCTGAAATAATCAAAACAGTGTGGTACTGGCAAAGAATAAACAAAAGCGGAGAGTGACGTCAGTAGCATGGCAGAATGAGTTGTTTCCTTTGTCTCTCCCCTCTAAGTTACAACTAAATGGACATCCATTAGCCAGCAGAGGACTCCCTTCACAGCACAACAGGAGGTCTGAGAGATCCAGGCAGCCGTGCATCTGAAGGTGGGTGGACTGGATCCCCAGGAGGCAGTGGAACTAGGTGAGCACACCTGTAAGTACCCATGGGAGCACCCACTGTGCCATGGCAGCCCGGCCCATGGGTCTGGCTCCCCACCGAGTGGTGGGGCTCAGCCCCCGCAAAGGAGCCCCTACCAAGCTCAGCAGCTCAGTTGAACCACCCATGAGTGCACAGCTGGCCTGCAAGTGAAAAAAGAGCCCTCCATTCTCATCTAGTGCAGTGGCTTGGCAGGTCCCCTGCTGAGCACAGCAGTCCTGCATAAGAGTGACCAACCAGTGGAGCACAGAGGCCCCTCCTGCAAGTGAGTGTGTGACCTGCCAAGTGGATGTGGCCAGGGTGCAAATGTAGAGAAGTCCTACCAGCACAACTTCCAGCTCCCGCCCTGGCCCCACAGTGGTGGCAGGTGGATCTATGACCTGAGACTACGACCATGCACCAGCAAGGACCACTTCATCAAACACCAGGAAGAACTACAGTAACACTTCAGAGCAGAAGGAAAATGACAAGTCTCCAGAAACCCGTCCTGAAGTCACAGAAATTGAAAATCTATATGACAGAGAATTCAAAATAGTTATCATAAAGAAACTCAACAAGTTACAAGCAAACTCAGAAAGACTGTTTAATGAGCTCAGAAATAAAATTAATGAGCAGAAGGAATAAGTCACCAAAGAGACTGAAACTCTAAAAAAAAAAAAAAAAACCCAAACAAATTTTGGATATGAAGAACACAATTAATGAGATAAAAAATAATCTAGAATCCATAAAAAATAGAGCTGACATTATGGAGGATAGAATTAGTGATTAAGAGGATAGAAATATAGAAATGGCTTCAAGTGTAGGAGGAAAGAGAACTACAATTTTTAAAAAATGAAGAAATTCTTCGAGAAATATCTGACTCAATTAGGAAAAGCAACATAAAGATTATAGGTATTCCAGAGGGAGAAGTGAGGGAGAAAGGAGCAGAGAGCTTGTTCAACAAAATAATAGCTGAGAACTTCCCAAACCTGGGGAAGAACCTGGATTTACAAGTACATGAAGCCAATAGAACTCCTAATTACATCAATGCAAAAAGATCTTCTCCAAGGCAGCTAATAGTAAAACTGGCAAAAGTCAATGACAAAGAAAAAAGGGCAGCTAGGCAGAAGAAAATAACCTACAAAGGAACCCTTATCAGGCTTTCAGTGGATTTCTCAGCAGAAACCTTAAAGGCCAGGAGAGAGTGGAATGATATATTCAAAATACTGAAAGACAAAAACTTTCAGCTAAGAATACTCTATCCAGAGAAACAATCCTTCAGATATGATAGAAAAATAAAAGCTTTCCTAGATAAACAAAAGCTGAGGGAGTTCATCTCCACTAGGCCTGCCTTGCAAGAAATGCTAAAAGGAGCCCACCCATCTGAAACTAAAAAAACAAAGGTTTACAAAACCTTGAGCAAGAAGATAAACGGACAAATAGAATCAGAAAATTGCAGCTCTATATCAGAATAGGTTAGTAAACAATTGTAACTATAGAA